CCCAACCCTATTAGAACAAATGTGTTCTGCTTTTGTAAAGAGGAGCGTTTGCTGCGCCTGTCCTATTACAGGCGACACATGATCAATAGGTTGATAACACAGCAACATCAATATAAGCGACAGAACAATGAGGGATATCATTGAACATCTATCTTAATATAGCCAGCTACAAGAGGCCTGACAAAGAGAAAAAACCTCATGAAAATTCCGCCCCACGTATTCCCATCTCCGATCCAATATGCACACACACTCCCCCAGCTGCTGAGGCTATTATTTTCCAATTTCAATTTGACACCCCAGCCTTTCATGCTAATTCTATTATTGTAGGAAGTTTATGTGATTTCATATCACTAGAAATCGGTAATGTATAATAACCCTTTGGGCAAGAAACTGAATCCCCGCAGCAGCCACCGGGAAAATAATTACTTTCATATCAAAACTCGGCAGGAGCTGGCCGGGCCCCGCCGCCCGCAGCTCTCACCTCGGCTGGGAGGGGCGGCACCGCCAGGCCAGAAATGAATACATTTGTTAAGCAATAAACACACACACACATACACACACACACAAAGAGGGCTTAAAAAAATAGGGGGGTGGAGGGGAGAGGAAAAAAAAACCCAAGAGCCAAAAGGGAGAGGCAGGCGGACCAGGCGGCAGGGAGTTTTAGAGCCTTTATTTATCAAAAATTTTACATATATAAATATTCTTAGACATTTTTGCATTTTACAAGGGTTCTGAGGAGTTCCGTTGTTGTCGCGGTACAGTTTGTCACACCACAAAGTCCGGCCGTTGCAGCTACGCCTTAACAAACTATTTTCCTGTTATTTTTTTTTTTTCCCCCCGCTTTTTCTTTTTTTTCTTTTTTTTCTTTTTTTCCTTTTCTTTTTAAATATAAAACCCAAAAAGCTCGAACTGATCACCTGAATCGACGTGTGACAAACGCTAAGGGGGGGGAAAGAGCTGCACCTCCGCCCCCCGCGGGCGCCCGGCTGTGGGCACGGCGATGCGGATGATGGGGGGAAGCGTTTCCCCCCCCCGGCTCCCCCCAAACCCCGTTTCTCACTGGCGACGGGCGGGGGGGTGTTTGGCGTTGTCGGGTGGGTGGTTTCGTTATTATTGTTTGGTTTGGTGTTGTTTTTGTGTGTGTGTGCGGTTCGTTTTTGCTGTTTTTTGTGTGTGTGCGAGAGGGGGGGGGTTGTTGTTGTTGTTTTTTTCTTTTGTCGGGGTTGTTGGGATTTTCGCCCGCTCAGTCCATGTCCACCTCCTCGCCGTCGAGGCCGCCGACCTCCGCGGGGCCGCAGTCCGATTTATCCCTGGGTGTCGCGCTCCCGTCCCGGGCCCGAACCGGCGATTTGGGCCGTGGGAAGGAGCCGCCCTCCGCGGGAGCCGCCGCCGCCGGATCACCGTGCGCGGCCGCGGAACGGGGCGAGGCTCCGGCGGGAGGGGGCGGCGCGGGGCCCGCAGCAGTGTCCGTGGAGCTGGGGCCGGGCTGAGCGCCGGCGGGCGCCGGTTCGGAGCTGAAAGCGGGGGGGCCCGGGTTGGCGGCGGGCAGCGGGGAGTCCCGGGGGGGCTGCCCAGCCTCGGGGCCCGGGCTGGCCTTGAGGGCGGTCTGCGGCACGATGAAGCCCAGGGGTTGGGTGATGGGGTAGAGCAAGAAGTGTCCTTTGCCGATGAGGGTGCGGGGAGCGCAGGGCTGGAGGCTGGGGAAGTCCAGGGCGGCCTTGCGGCGGGGGGGCGAGTCGGAGAGCAGGCTCTCCACGCTGAAGGGGTTGAGCTTGTGGAAGCTGCCGGCTCCCCGGGGCCCCCCCGCTCCGCCGCTGCCGTCCCCCGACGGGGCGGCCGCGCAGTCTTTGTCGGGCGGGCGCTGGAGCCGGCCGGCCCCGCTTCTTTGGCTGGGGTAGAAGGGCTCTGCCGTTTGGTCGCAGCTGCTGGGGGGCGGCTCGGAGGAGGCGGCGGGAGGCGGCGGGTGGGGCGGCGGGGGCTGCCCGCGGGGCTTCGCCTCGGGTGGGGCGGGCGAGAGGCCCCCCCCGCCGCCGCTGTCGCTGTCCGAGCTGGGCGTGCTGTGCAGGGAGAGGCCGCTGGGCGAGTGGAGGTGGCGGCTTTGGCTTTTGAGAAGCTTTTTCTCGTGTTTGCGTTTCTTCTTCTCCATCTTCTCCAACTCTTTGCGGGCGATCTCCTCGGGGTCCATGGGTTCCCCGCTGCACGTCGTGGGGTGCGAGTTGTGAGCCGGCCGCCCCGGGCCTTTCTTCGTGTTCTCTTTCTTTCTCCATTTGGCCCGGCGGTTTTGGAACCAGACCTACACACCGAACAACGAGAAGCAGTTAACACCCAGCGCACCGGCCCCGAGGTGGCCAGGGCAGAGCGGGGAGGGGGAGAAGCGCAGCTCAGGCCTCCCCTGTCCACCCGTCGAGGTGCCGGCAGCGCCCAGCACTGGACGCCTGCGAGAAGGAGAGCGCGGGAGGGGGCAGGAAAAAAATAATAATCAAGGGGGGAATGCACACTCACGCACACACATGCCGCACTGGGCCCGTACCGAGGGAGGGGAAGGGAAAGCATCCATTCCCTCAGCTCTTCCCCGCGGCCCAGGGGTGCAGAAGCACCGGGCCTGGGCCCAATCCCACCCCACACACCCTCTTCCCCCCAGCATCGTGCAGAACGCGCTGGAACAGAGCATAGCAGGGGGGTGCAAGAAGGGCCGCCTGGCCTTACTCCCGTTCCAGAACACGGAGCAGAGGCGAGGCCGGCACAGCCCAAAAATTGAGGTTGCTTCTGTAGTTTAGGGGAGAAATCACTGAAACCCCGCCCGCTCTGGCCCTGCAACCGTATGTCGGCCCCACGCACGTCGTCTCCCCACGGGCACAGCTGCCCATCCACGCCCGCAGCCCGAGCCCTAGAATACGGCCCTGGCGTTTCGCTGCCCCCATCGCGGCTTCTTTGCCCCGTACCGAGCCGGGCAGTGCCGGGGCTCAGCCGCCCCTCGGCGTGCAGCGCTCCGCGGAACGGAACCTCCGCAGCTCCGCACTCGCGGTGGGGTCTCAGCCCGCGACCCCGCACAAACTCATCCGCTCCCCGGGCACAGCGGCCCCGCGCCGCGCAGCAGCAGGGAGAGACCCACAGACTCCATTGCTATTATTTTTTTCTTTAAGCTCAGTTTAAGCAAACAGATGCTGCCCGAGCCGGGCAGGCCGGTAAATGAAGCTGAAAACGTCCCGCACGCCCCGAGCTGCACGAACATCGTCCGGCGGACCCCGGCCCGTGATTGAGCCCCGCAATTACATTGTCATTTTTCAGCCTCGGCTCGTTGAAAGAGAAACGCTTACACAGAGGGAAAATAAAAACGTTTTGGGAACCTGCGATGGAATATCACTGTTGGCGGCCCGTTTGCGAGCCTGCTTATTCTTAATTATTATTATTAAGAAATAAAGATGATAAAAATGAAACAGCAGCGACCGAGCGGAGGTTGGGAACAAAGCGGAGCGGGGCTGCGGGCCCGGCCCAGGGTTGGAACCCCGGGGAGCCGCTGGGTCCGAGGAGAAGGAAGGGGAGCGGGTCGGGGTTTACCTGCACTCTGGACTCCACCAAGTCCAGCCTGAGAGCCAGAGCCTCTCGCATAAACACGTCCGGGTAATGGCTCTCATTAAACGCCTTTTCCAGCTCCTCGAGCTGCCAGCCGGTAAAATTGGTGCGGGTTCGTCTCCTCTTACAGCCAGGACTTTCTTTGTCCGGGTCACCAGAGTCTGAAAAGGCAGAAATACCCTCAGCTCCCCGAAGAGAGGCCTTCTCCCCCCTCCCTGCCATTCACAGGAGCCTTCAAACTTCCGTGCTCGGTAACGTCGGTAGAACAGCGGGGTTATGCACACACCTGAGCTAAAAACGGGCAGGAGCCCATCGGCCCTCGCCTCCTCCGAAAATGTACTTTACACAACATTTATCCTGAAGGAAGCTCTCCATGGGCACTGGCAGAGAGAGAGAGAGAAGTTCCAATATTTGCTCCAGCCACCCAGGATCGAATTAGAACAATAATAGCGATAAAAGAAGCCCCCCCCGCCCCGTGTTCCCTTCCCCAGCCCCGACGGCCGCAGCCGCTCCCACTCGCGGCCCCGGCTGTGGGCTGAGCGCTCGGGGCCTCCGCGGGGATGGACGGCGCCGCACGGGGCTCACGGCCGCTCCTCGCCTTTTCCGCCGAGCGTGGAAATTATGGTTATTATTATAAGAAGAATTGATGCCGAACATTTTGTTTTATTTTTTTCCTGAACGGAGATATTCCGGGATTGACACAAGGAGGTTTGGGCGACGTTCTGATGGCTGAACAATAGCTGTGCTACAAGGCCGGGAGGGGAAGGAAGGAGAGCGTTTCTCTTCGGTTATATCGTTTTTAAAAAATAAATACAAATAAGCGTATAACTAAAAATCGTCGCTCATCGTTTTTCAAACCCCATCGCTCTCCAGGATTCCGCCTCCCGTTCTCCCCGGGCAGGTCGGTACGGCCCGAGCCCCCGCTCCGGCCGTGAACTCGGGGCAGGCCCCGGGCCGGGCCGTTATTCCGCTATTGTTCGGGGCGCAGCGCGGCTCCGCGCTGGGGGGGCTCTCACCGCCCGCCCCCCCCCCCGTCCCATCCCATCCCGCCCCCTCGGGGCTCCGCGAGGGCCCCGTTCTCCCGCAGCGAGGGGCGCGGCGCCGCTCCTACCTGCGAGCTTGAAGGGCTGCGTGTCCGCGCTCACCCCGCAGCCCGAGGGGATGAGAGGAGCGGGGGTGACCACGGAGGCCGCGCAGGAGCCGCTCAGTAATCCATCGATGGAGAAGGGCACGGAAGCGGCCGCCGACTGCAGCTGGTGGCCGGCCAGCTCGTAGACGTGGTGGTGGCCGAGAGGGTAAGGGAAGCCCACCATGCCCCCGAACTGGGCATGGGGATGCTCCAGGATGCGGCTGTCCATCATGGGGGCGGCTCTAACGAGGCGGGGGGTGCCGGGGGGGCTGCCGGCGGCTCCGGGGGTGCTGGCGGCGGGGCGGCTGCGGCCGGGGGTGCTGCTGCCGGAGGAGGCGGCGCGGCGAGGGGCTCATGCTGCAGGGCGCCCGGGCGCTTTAACTTTATCAACATCAGGCTCCCAATAATTAGCTCAGGCTGGGGGAATTTGGGACCAATAAGAAACGTTAATCGGTCCTGACGTCAGAGACGTGCCAGTGTGGGGAGCGAACGTTTTCCATATCGATTGCTAATTATACCTGACATCCAGCCTCAATAAACAATATCAGAGCTGTCACAACAAGACAAGGGGGGCTTTGATACGAACTCCAGCCCGAGGAGGGCGGCGGGGGCCGGGCGGGCAGGGGAGGGTGCGGGGGAGACGAAGGGGAACGCACGGAGCCCACCGATCCCCGTTAAATAGCGAACAGCCGGAGCGCCGCACGCGCACACCGCCCCCCCACCCCCCCAGCCGGCCCCCCTTGTCCCCTCCCCTCTCCAAATCACTAATAGATTTCCCTTTAAAACATTCACCAGCGTGTTGTGGGGATTTTTCACCAGAAATGCTCTACTCTCTGAACCTTTAAAGTGATGTTGCTCCAATTACAGAGAGACATTGAGCGGCAAATAGACTGATCCAATAATAGGAGATTCATCATCCGCTCTTTCCAGAGCTGTCACATTGAATTTAAAACTACAAGCCTTTTCATCTCCTCTCCGGCTCTATAACAGGGGATAGGGGAGGGGGGCAGAGGGAGGGCGAGGGAAAAAAATGGGGGAAAAGAAGGGAAAAAAAAAAGAAGAAGAAGAAGAAGGAAGAGCCTTTTGCGGCGTTTAGAGGGAGACTTGAGCGTATCAATCGAAATCATAATTAATGCAATCTCCTATCGATTCGGCCACGGCCATCCCCTCCCCAGCAGCCCCCGCAGCCCACGCGTTGTGGGCGCAGCCGCATCCCGGAGCGGCCGCTTCTGCCTAAAGAGGAGGCCCCGAAGAATTCAGAAAGAAAAAAAAAATTCCCAAATAAAGTTCCCTCCCCTCCCTCCCCATCGCCTCCCCCCCATCACACCCACCGCCGGTGCTAAACAGCTTCCAAACGGCCGCCAAATTTCTCCTAATTAAATTACATCCCCATCGAAGTTTTCACCCCGATCAAATATTGATGGGTCCCCCCTCATCCCCCCCCCCGATCATCGTCAAAGGGAATGTTCTCCAGCAAAACGAGGGGCGAGCCTCAATTTGGGGCCCACTGCGGCAGGAGTCAGAGGTCGGGTGGGGAAACCTGGGGGAAAGGATGGGGGTCCCGACCTGGGGGAGATTTGGGGTCCCGCCCCCCCAGCCCGGCCGACCACGGTAGGAGGGGAGCGGAGCGGAGCGGCCCCGCAGCGCCCGCCGTTAACAAAGAGGAGAGGGAGAGAGCAGCCGGGCTGGGAAATCAAACAGGGAAAACTCTTTAAATCTTCCTGGGAGGTTCGTGAGGAATGAAATCCTTCGAGTCGGGGGGCGGGAGAAGAAAGGGGGGGGAAAATATAATAATAAAAAAGAAGGAAAAAGGGAAAGAGAGAGGGGAAGGGGGAAGAGGGAGAGACACTTTATCTCTGGGAAACATACAAATAGATTTTCCAGTTATAAAATATCCGGTATATGTGATATATGATACATTTCACAGCGCTTATTTGTGTGAGGACGGGAGAGGGAGAAGCTAAAATTGAAATAAAGAGGAAGTGGAGTCTCTAATCTATGTTGTCTGTCCGGAACTGTATTTATTCACCTAATTGAATGCCGTACAATATAGCGCTGTATTATTGCTGTTCCTCCCTCCCCCTATAGATTAGTTTAATTATGGTCTCCTGCCTCTGCTCTGAGCTAAAAGGTACCGCGAGTTTGGACGGCGCAGCCCTAACAGAAAGAAGAAAATGATGGGGTTGGTATTAATTCTGGGGTCAAGGGCTTCACTTTTCACCATAATTTAATTTCTTTCTCTATAAATACTAAATGTAAACTGTGTCCACTGGACCAAATTTTGCCCGTAGCAATAAACGCCTCATTTTCTGTCGGATTTCAGGAGAGGAATGCGAGGGGGACGTGTTTCTGAATACAGAATGGTAATCAATCCAGCCCGGAATAAGAGAGGGGGGACTTTTTTTTTCTCTTTTTTTTTTTTTCCCCCTCTCTCTCTTTATTATAATGAATTAATTCGACTTTATTTATCCCATTTTCTGGAGCTGACAGAACGTTAATTTGAGTTGAAATTTCTCTCGCCTCTCACTCCCTGACCCCTGCCCTCCAGATTGGCGTGTTGTAATAACCTGAATCTTTCAACAGAAGCCCTGATAATTGTTACCTTATTAGCATGCAAATTGTTTAATTAATATTATTATGGAGAAGCATACAATCCGTCCGTCACTTGACCTCAAGTGCAAGTCCACGCAGTAAGCGGCTCTGTGCATTTCAATGTGCACATTTAAAATCGACTTCTGTTTTAATGTTTCTAGGATCCTCGTCGAGCTTCTAAAAATCTCTCTTAAAGTGTTTGAGAG